CTGTGTGTCTGTGTGTCTGTGTGTCTGTGTATCTGACTCTCTGCATGTGCGTGCGTGTGTGCGCGCGGTTGTGTGTACACGTATATTTCAGCCTTATTGTCACTATTGGGATCACAACACTGTAACTCAGTGCCCGTACGACATATGATAAACAATAATGTGGCGACTGACTCACCGCGCTCCGATGCCGGAGATGACGGTGGATGAGACGCCGACGACAACCAGCATCGTGCTGAACATCTGCACCTTCAGCGCCGTGTTGAACTCGCCGCAGATGAGGTCGGCGACGGCGATCGGCGCCGTGTAGATGCCGCCCAGGCAGACGAACAGTTGCTGTGGGGGAAGTTCCTACGATTAAACTGGCTGCAGCGAGGTAATTTTTGGTCCGAGCGAAAGTTCCTGGTTAAATAAATTTTTTCTCTTGCGTTTATTTGTGCTAGGGAAGCACACAGAAGTGAGAAGTGAACATGTAAGTAATTATTTCGGCTTGGTGTAAGATTTTTGAGATTTGGCATTTTTAGATATCCAAGAAGCCTCCACGAACCTTATCGATACAGACCCTGTATGAATTTACTTACTATAATTCGATCTAAATCGAAGGCAGACTTTATAGAAAACAGCATGTAGGTAAGGCAAGCGGATTTCTACCTGTAGGCCAAACAATACGGATAGATGTATCGGAGGCTTGTCGTCGATCCCGTAGATGAGCCTTCCTTTCTCGTCGTTGGAGTCACTGCCATCTCGTTTATTCTCTAAAACGCACAAATAGTATAAGAATATAGCAAATACTCAGCACACAAAACGTGTATTTTTCTGCGGTGATCATGTCTATGGTATTGCAACTTGCGAGGTGTATAGTATCATTATTGCTAGCGCTCTACTCGATGTAGAAACCTTTTGGATCTAATAGATTTACGGAGACAGTTTTCTTGTTGGTGGTCGCACTCTCGTTCTCATCATTTTCCAGCGGTTTCATGGCGACAACGTGCTCCACAATGTAAAAGTATCTACACGAATGTTGTACGGTACTTTATTCGATGCAGAATAAGCAACCTATACGTTATGTTGTGCAACATCTTAGGAACGTTGACCTATGTGTGAACAATAATAATCTATTTCTATATGTTTAGGCTATCATTAAGTCAATAAGACTTAAAGTCAGATAAGCTCCTCTTTGTGTGACTATCCCTGATACGTGGGATTTCCATTGCAATGGAAAACTGGTCGAGCTTTAATATTATGTTTTACTGTTTTATACTTACTGTTTATACACTATCTGCGTTAATAACCACGTTTTTTTCATATGAGTTATATTTTACATTTCTTAGGCTACGATATATATCAGCACAGAATTATGTTGTACAGCGGGGTCATGCAAGGTATTTTACCAATTTCGCCGACAAATATCACCGAGCCCGGCCAATCAATCCGTGTTAACCTATTAACCCTAACGTTTAATAGGTGTTAATCAACCTAGAGTAGTTCTGTTCCTCTGGGGTAAAATTATTGAAATCTGGTCCCCCGCCCCTCTAGGTCAGATACCTAGATACTTTCACGATAATTCAGGTGTAGCAAGACATAGACAAACCCAACAAGAAGATATGTGTGACTGTTGACGCAATCTCATCAGAGGTGACAGACTTTATTTTCGCACCGTAATTAAAATTAGCTATGTCACCAAAACACTAAACTCAATATGCAGCATGGTACTTGGTACATGTATACAGAAAATTCGAAACTGATAGTGAAAAAAACAAAAACAAATATAATCTAATACGTCAGAAATGCCGGCGGCCAAACTATAATGATGACAGGAAAACGCGGAATTAACACATGATGAAGCGGTCTGCTAAGCAGCTCACACATGACACTGAGAAACAGTCCATATAATATCAAATCTATAGTCCATAATAAAAAATTTAGTTTTAAAGTTTAAAGAAAATTTAGAAAAATAATAGTCCATTTCTAGTATGGACTCTTGATAACATCCATCAGTGGGCCCGTGACTCGATGCATGTACAACGCATTACTTAAGCCCGGCGCACACGTGAGTAATTTTACTCAAGTAAAATGATGCATGCGTCAAAATACTCACGCGAAATATTTTCAGCGTCCGCCGCACACGTGAGTAAAATTACTCAAGGTATAAGTGGTAATGTAGATTACGTGACTGTGCGCATGCAGCCAATACTGGGCGCCATAGAAATAGATAGATAACCATAGGGCTATCTAGAGATAATCCTATGGTTAATGATCCTAAATGGTGGATAACAATCCTAATGGTGGATAATCCTATGGATAATCCATATGGTTATCTATAGATAACCATAGGTTATCTATCTATTTCTATGCTGGGCGCAGTCATCTTTAAAATTAATTAAACGCATGCGCTGTGAGTACCAGTGGTGAGTAAACTTACGCAGCTAGCGCGCACACGTTGAGTATTTTGACGCATGAGTAAACAATTATCAAGCATGTTTGATATTACGTTTCTTGATGCAGGCGTCAGAAAACTCAACGAAAATTCGGCGCACACGTGAGTATTTTGACGCATGCATCATTTTACTTGAGTAAAATTACTCACGTGTGCGCCGGCTTTACAACAGTATTAACATCAGTCTTAACATCGTCTTTTTTGCCGACTGGGCCTCTAGATCTATCTATACACTACGTATGAGAAACTTGTAGCTTTACAATATATGTGTCAACAGCATACAAGACAGAGTTGATGCTAATATAAGTTATCCAAGACTAATATCAAGACCATTATTGCTTTTAGAACGGGTCTCAGGTCATGATGTTAATCATGCATGAAACTCAACTCATTACACAATTGATGAAATGAAAGACATAGCATCCAATAACACAAGTTTGCCTGGCGTCATAATCTGTGCGATGTGAGGTCAGGCATCTCATGAACAATGTCACTTAAAACACTTCCTTATATTACCTTAAAATACATTCAAATATTTACGGTGTCAATATATCGGCTATAAAACATGCTGTTGACAAATTGTGTAATAACGATCTTTTGGAGATGATTAACCTTGCCGTATAACAAACGTGTTATTGCAAGCAGTATAAACAAGCATTACCGTCACTCGAGCGTGTCGTTATTATTTCAACTCGGTCACATATATATATA